ATCCTGCTGAGGTGGCGCTGAGGGAGATGCCGGAAGGAGGAGTGGAAGAGCAGCATACTTGTATTATTGGTTATTATTGTAATTCTCCTCACTCTCCTCATTGTCTATTCTCCCCTCTTGCTCCTCTCTTGGATGATTTACTGGCTTCAAGATTCAATCACGTGAGACTTGGACATACAGTGTACCATTTGATATGCGCTGGTTCCAGACATTGCGATGTGGTTGATTGTTTCTCAAGGAGAGAGACTGGGCTCATTGCAAGATGAATGAAATAAAATAAAATTCTGAAATACCTGGGGCCAGTAAGTTTCGACCACGATATCTCAAGGCCGTTGCCGTTTTTTTCTTTTTTTTAAAGTGGAACTGGAAACAACCGTTCTGACAAGTCAGTCCGGATAAAGCAGAGATACAGATGGTGGAACAGACCTGGAGTAACGGAAGTACTAGAGCGTTTTGAAAATTGTGACTCGTGTGAGGAAATAGATAGAGAGATAGTGCTACAGTAGGAGAGAGACAAGACAAAGAACAACAGAAGGGATGGCTATTAATGGACGAAATTCGGAGAGTGGACAGGCGACTCGGCCAGACTCCTGCTCCCCAACAACCTCCCCCGTCCTCCCCCCCCTGAGGGGAAACTGTAATGCTATACCTTGGATGAGGTAGAGTAACAGAAGTACTAGAGAGAGTGTGACAGATGTGACAAAGTAGATAGAGAGATATCGCTAGATTAAAGGGAATGGAAATTAAAAAAAAGAAGAAGGGAACAGATATAGAGAGTATTATTGAATGGAAATTTGGAGGGTGGACAGGTCATTCAGCCACCTCCCTGCCCCCCAACAAATTAACCCCCCCCCTCGACCTGCCCCCCCCAACACACGCACACATACACACACCCCAAACCCGAGGGGAAACTGTAATGCTATACCTTGTATGAGGTGTCAAATCCGTCACCCATTTATTTGGGGCTTCTTTTCAGTCTTTCAGCGATGATGAGCGTATGTTCTATTCGTCGTCTTCGATCATCTATGTTGAGTTATATAGAGCTATATTTTGGTCTTGTACCGTCTTCCCCCAATTAGAACCTATGGTCATTATCGGCAATTTTATCGCTGCATCTAGAGTGAAAGCAGCCCGAAATACAGGCATGATGTTGTACGTTCTATTTGGAGGAAGATGGTAGGCCTTGTTGGTGTGTACTACCTACTATCTCAGGTTCATGAGTCACTGGGATGCCGCTTAGACATGGAGCCGCCTAACCGCGGCCCGCTAGAACAGACATGGGCTTTTATCCCTGCCTGCTGTAAGAACCCTGGGCCAACAATTGTTTCAGAAAAAAGAAAGGAAGAAGGATGCCACATAAACCATTATCCCTTCGTTTGTAATGGTGGGATAGTGCTACAGTCAGGGAGGAAAAAAAGACACAGAACAATCAGACCGATGTTACTATTTATATATGTACATGTGCGTGTGCGTGTGCGTGTGTGCAACTGTAAGTAGAGACAGAATCGTGTCTAATAGCTCGAACAATGTAGATAATGGGCCTCGCTCCAATACTCACCACATGCATAAAAGACAAAAGAATTGGCGGTGTATCTTCCCATGTTCTAGTGGCTGATTCATTCTCAATTGCACATTTTGTGAGTAGTGGAGCGAGGCCCGATGTGTAGTTTCTTTCATGTAAGGGGAGGATGGGAGTTGTTTGTTGTGTGGTGGAGAACAGCTGCCACTTGTTTGCGTATGTGCGCACGTGTAACACTAAAAATATAGTAGGTAGTAGTTCTCCTTTACTGTTTGGTGTGCCCTGAAGTGAACACCTCCCAACTCCCAACAGCCCACCCAGCTTTGCTGCTGTGGCTCTTAAAAAAGTTTCGGGCCAAAGTTTTTCCGTTTTAGTTTTCCTGATTACCTATGTTCATATAATAGCTTGCTTTTGTTTCGCGACGCCAGAATGACTCGAGCTGGATGTGAAATGACGTGTATACAAGCAGTGGGTCATTGTTACTTTTTCTTTCTTGTTTCTTCTCGTTTCATTCTCTTGTTTTCTTTCTTTTTTTCTATAAATAATTTGGACCATTTCTCGATCTATGCGTGTCATCCTTGCAAAGGGGCCATGCTAATCATAATCTTCTCTGTATTATTCCAATGTAAACAGATGTCCCGGAGGAGAGTGGCGGTCCCCTTCTAAAATTTGGTTCAATTTGTGAAGTTGGAGTATTACTCACGCAAAGGCAATCTGTTTCTCCGTGAGCTCTTTGCACGACAGCTGGCGAGGTAACTGTTGCCTTTCCATGATGAGTAGACAAGGCTTGCAGTGTAAGCACGTTCGTCCACTGATTGGAAATTTCATTCAGGGATTGACAAACATTCTGTTTTCTGTTTACTCTACTAACACACCCAAGTGGCATGCAAGTGTGTGACCTTGTCTACTAATCTTGTTTGCTCTCCTTTCCTATAAAGGAATGCATCACACAGTTATCTCCATTGTTTGGGCAATTTGCTTGCAGCAAAATGTTACGTCTGTGTATGAATGCATGTGTGTGTGTGTGTGTGTGTGTGTTTGTGTGTGTGTGTGTGTGTGTGTGTGTGTGTGTGTGTGTGTGTGTGTTTGTGTGCGTGTGTGTGTGTGTGTGTGTGTGTGTGTGTGTGCGTTATAGTTTTTTCCCACAACAGCCCCAATTCCACCCAGATGAATAGATCCAGA